AAAAAAAATAGAATAAATTTGATCTTTTCTGGTAATTCAAATGTACTTTGATATTTATGTTTAAAAAAGCTTTTATAGTTTTTGAGCTTCTAAAATAAATGCTATGATGAAAATATGTTTATGCTCCATTTTAAAATTGGTTTTGATTTTAACAGAAAAAATCCCACCCTATATGAGATCCGTGTTGGGTACCTCCAGGGGCTCTGTCCCCAAACCACTCTGCTTTTCCGGGGACCCGCCACTCAGCCGCAACAACCATTCCCATCTGCTCCCATCTGCGGTAAGGGGGGATTCTGAAGGATCCCAACACAGTAACTGGTAAAAAGCATCTCAGTCTTCTCAAACAGGAAGCATCACCCACTGGAGGATATATCCACCATCTCAAATGACAAAACGCAGAGGCCACAACCAGGTTAGAACTGAACCAATGTCAGTTGTTTGTGATATCACCACCATGGCCCAGGGGTGAGGGTGGTTAATTGCCCAGTTACCAAATAATTTCATTTGTAAGACTCAATTACTCCTCCCTTAAAATGTTTCGTGGTTCAGCATTTTGTAGGGGTCATTTTTAACTGACAAAATTCGTGAATATGTCTGGTGCACCCCATGATGTTCTGATATATGAATCCACTCTATAAGAATTAAAATCTAATTAGCACACGCATGACCTCACATACTTTTTAAAAATGAGCACACCTAAAACCAATTCTCATAACAATACATAGTATACTTAAATTGTATTAACTATAGTCATTTTGATATAAGACAGGCCTACTTTTTGTCTAATTGAAATTTTGTATCCTTTGATCCATATTCTCTCCAACACCTCTGGCCCCTGATGTCTATCATTTCCCTCCCTATTTCCATGAGTTTGACTTTTTAAAAATTCCACACAGTGAGGCCACCCAGGATGTGCCTTTCTGTGCCTGGCTTATTTCACTCAACCTAATGTTCCTCACGCTCACCCAAGCTGCCAGGAGTGACAGGATTTCCCTCCGTGAGGCTGAACCGTATTTTGTTGAGAACATACACTACATATTGGCCTTGAATCCATGGACGGGCACCTACACTGGTTAGAGAAGGTGATTTCCAACAGGAACTTTCATGAGCCTGGCTTCTCTGCATCTTGCTCTTTATGTTTTAAAGGAGAACATGGACCACACTTAGCACTGTGCTTCCCAAAGCAAACAGCCACCAATGGTGGCACTTGAATAGATGTCATTGGCACAGACATAAGGCATGCCATTCAGCAATGCTGACTCAGCGAGACATTTTGATTCTTTAACAGGTCTGATCTACTCGGGATAAGTTTTGAGTGCTTAAGACTTTTAAAAATATATAGCAAAGTAAGAAGAGGCCTAATGTAATTTAGGGGGGAAAAAAAAGGGAGACAAAGCTTTTAAGAGGGGAAGCCCCAGGGTGCATTTTTGGGAGAGCTCTCTGGCTGTGCACTTAAGTGCTAGCGGCCACGGAGATGCCACTCTCACCTGATTCTGTTGCCATGGAACAAAGAGGGTCTACCATGTCCCAGCTAACATGAGCGGGCTCTTTTCTGTTAAATGAGCACTTACTACAGAGGCAAAGGAGTGACTGAGAGCATCTACCTTCAAATTGTCCACTACCTATTTGCAAACAATTGAGATTTAACATGACCAATGTTACCTTCTGCTGAGTTTTTTGACTGGGCTCACTTAATCTGTCCAAACTGATGATCCTAGATATGGCCGATGGGCCTTTTCAGAGCCCACAGGGTGACCTGGCGATTTTCAAGCACTATCTGCTAGAACACTGCTTTTCCATTTAAAATTGAAATAATTTCTTTTAAAATAAATTTAAGTTAGTTTAGATAAACAGATAACCAGGAGTCATGCTATGGCACATTTTATAGGTGGCATGCAAGTAAATGAAATCTGGGGAGTTATTACTTTAAAATAATCAAAGTTATTACATTACCGACATCCTTCTCCTTTGCTTCCTGCCACTCTGGAAAGCAGGATCTTCCCTAAAATAAAAGAGATCCAATGAATGGAACCGGTAGGACCATCACCCCTCTTCCTTCCCTTACTCCACCGCCCTTTGCCCGATTATGAACCCTGTGCATGGGGAGCATCCGTCCTGCAGACTGGCTTCTATTTTGCAGTCTGTTCCTCTGGAAGACAACGACTATAAGAAAATAAACTTTGCTGAGTTTCTTGTCCAAGGCACACAGAGAAGAGGAAGGCCAAGCAGGATTGGCAAGGGGCCAGCCAGCAGCAAGGCTGCAGAATGTTCCTCCAGCCTGGCCCTCCACCCTCCCCTGGGTGCTTTAAACAGATGCTGCACATTGAGCATCTTCCCTAAGCCGACTGTCCATCTGTAGGTCTTCCTTGGAGAATGTCTACTTAAGTCTTTTCCCCACTTTTTTACTTGGATTATTATTATTATTATTATTATTAGCTGCTGTTGAGTTGTAGGAGTTCCTTCTATATTTTGACTATTCATTTATCAGCCATGTGGTCTATTATTTTTATTTTACGGATGAGCGTTAGGATGTAAGGTTACTGTAAAAATAACGATGTGAATAAAGAGGGATGCTGCCATGGAAAACAGTATGGAGGTACTCCCCCCAAATAAAAATAGAACTACCATGTAATTCAGCAGTCCTACAAAGTGTACGTCCAAAAGGTACCGAGATCAGAAAGTGCCTGCACTTCAATATTCGTTGCAGTGTTATCCACAATGGCCAGGAGATATGCTATGATTTGGGTAAGTACTCCCCAAAGGCCCGCAGGTTAAAGGCTTGTTCAACATGCTGCGGTGCTAGGGATGTGGTAGAGGTGGGACCTTGTGGGAGGAAGCTAGGTCACTAGATGCGTGCCCTAGAAAGTGATTTGGGGATCCCAGTCCTTTCCCCTCTCTTGTTCTCCAGCCACCATGAAATGAGCAGTTGTCGATGCTGCATGCTCCTTCCATGATGTCCTTTGCCACAGGCCCCAAAGCAACAGTCAACCAACCATGGGCTGTAATTTCCAAAACTGTGAGCCAAAATAAAACCTTTCTTCTCTTTAAGTTGAAAAATCTCAGGCATTTATTATAGTATCCTAAAGCTGACTAACACAATTTGTGAACAACCCAACTATCCATGGATAAAGAAACTATAGCATACGCATGCACACACACATGCGCACACTTGAATACTACTCAGTCTTAGAAAAGGAAATCCAGCCATAGGTAATGGCATGGATGAACATGGAAAATTACACTAAGGCAAGCAAATCACAAAAGCACAAGTACTACACACAATTCCAAACACACAAAGTATCCAAAATAGTCATGCTTATAGAAACAGCAGGATGGCAATTACCAGGGGCTGGGGGAGAAGGGAAATGCAGAGTTCCTATTAAATAGGTGTCGTTTCAGTTGTTCAAAATGAGTACCTTCTAGAGATTTGCTATACAACACTGCATATGCACCATCATGTCCAGCCAACCACTCATCCACTGCGCTTAGTGTGCATATTCTAGAATTTCATGTAAATTCAAGTATACAATATGCACATTTTCTTATTTCTTCCCCTGGGCATAATTATTTTGAGATTCGTTCATGTCACATTCATGTCAATAGCTCATTCCTTTATTTCTGCATAGTATTTCATTGTGTGGATATACAGGCAGAGATTCCTAACATGGAAGCCCAAGATGCTCCAAAATCCAAAACTTCCTGAGAGTCAATATGATGCTACACATGGAAAATTCCACACTGGACCTCAAGTGACAGGTCATAGTCAAATCACTGGTGACTGATGTGCTAAGAATATTGAATGAGGGCTGGGGATATGGCTCAAGTGGTAGCGCGCTCGCCTGGCATGCATGCGGCCCGGGTTCCATCCTCAGCACCACATACAAAGATGTTGTGTCTGCCGAAAACTAAAAATTAAAATATTAAAAAAATTCTCTTAAAAAAAAGAATTGAATGAGATTACCTTCAGGACATATGTATAAGCTATATATGAAAAATAAATTTGTGTTTAGTCTTTGGATCCCATCCCCAGGATCTCTCATTTTATGTTCAAATATTCTCAAATCCAGAGAACTCTGAAATATGAAACACTTTTAGTTCCAGACATTTTGGATAAAAGATAAATGAATAAACACATGCTGGTACAGATTGTCTATCGAAGACATCCGAGTTTCTAATTTGGAGCCATTACAAAGAAAGCTGTCAAACACTCATGTCAGTATATCTCCATGCAAAGGAATGGACATATCTCTTGGGGAAACACCTAGGATTGGAATACCTGGGCCACAGGGTGGGTGTATAACATTTTAGGAAAATACCAGAATATAAAAGTTCCAGGAGCCTACATAGTCACAAACTCATGATGCAGACAGCCATTCTAATAGTGCAGTGCATCTTGCAGCTTTAATTGACATTTCCTTAATAATTAATAATACTGAACAACTTCCCATGTGTTTCTCTGCTGTGTATTTTCCTTGGTGAAATAGCTGTTTAAATCTTTTGCCTCTCTTTTTACTGAGTTGTATTTTTACTATTGAAGTTTGATAATCAGTATATTCCACATTCAAGTCTTTTACAAATATCTTCTCCAAGTGTGTGGCTTGTTTCTCCTTTCTTCCAAGAGTGGCTGATGAAGAGCCTACTTCACATCAATGAAGTATAATTCATCAACGTGTTCTTGTATGGAATATGCATTTAGTGTCATATCTAAGAAATCTTTGAAGTTTTTTAAAAATATTTCTCTTTAAGTGGTTTTTACATATAGGTCTCTGATCTATGGATGGTGAAGAAGAAAGGTCATTTATTTTCTTACACATAGTATTCAACTGTTGTAGTAACATATGTTGAAACACCTACCCTTTCCCTGCTTCATTATCTACAACAGAAATGCAAAGACAAACTGTCCACATATATTCAGACCTATTTCTGGACTTGTCTGTTTTATTTATCTTTATGCCACTACCAACACTCTTGATTTTTTGGTAAATCTTGAAACCAGGTAGTGTGTAAACCCTCACACTTTCTTTTTGAAATTCGTTTTGGCTCTCCCACGTCCTTTAAAATTCACATGAAATTCAAAAATAGTTGGTAATTTTTTTTTAAAAAAAGGCTGCTGGGATTTTCACTGGGGATTATATTGAATCCCTAGATCAATGTGGGAAGAACTTGCATCTTAAGATTGATCTTTTCATCTCATAAACAGTGAAATATGCCAAGAGTGTATCTCTCTACCTACCTACCTAAACTTCTCTCAACATTCTGTAGTTTTCTGCTTGTGGGGCACCGAATGGATCTTACAAATCTTTTGTTGCTAGGAATGATGGCATGCCCCTGTAATCCCAGTGGCTTGGGGGGGCTGAGGCAGGAGGATCACAACTTTGAGGCCAGCCTCAGCAACTGGGCGAGGCCCTCAGCAACTTAGTGAGATCCTGTCTTAAAAAATAAAAATGGGTGGGGACATGGCTCAGTGGTTTAAAAAAAAAAAAAAAAAAACAAAAAACACCCTTGGGTTAAATCCCCTAATATAAAAGTAAATAAGGCTAAAGTAAATCTTTTGTTAAGCTAATCCCCAAGTATGTCATATGTTTAATATTATTGTGAATTATATTGCCTTTTATTTCAATTTTTGGTTAATAGTGAAAATGATTTTCGTATATTGAATGTTTTTTCAATCTCAGATTCAATGTTTTGCAGCAGAAAAGTACATCAAAGATACCCTAGAGATAATAGCAGAGGTCTACAGGTCCAGGAGAATCTGCCAACTCAGAGAACTTCCCAAAATGCTTTCTCCTTGGAATGAGGTGGGCGGAGGCAGGAAAGGGAGCAAAACCTAGACTGTTAACTTTTAGTA